CCACCATACAGCGGCTACCCCTTCTAGTAACCTGGTGGCAACCCTCAACTTCACGTCGAGTGAAATTTGCATGTCCCTAGAAGCATCATTCAGCTTCTTAATCCAGTCGGCGGCCTCAGATATGTCGCCCTTGCCATCAAATGATTTGCACCCCAAGGCCCTGGCCTCCTTGAGGTACTTGGAGATACGCACCATCGTGTCTCCTCCAAATGCCCCCGATGGAGCACTAGAAGCACCTCGGCTTCCTTGCCCCATGGTCTGCCTAGCCTGTCTAGCTTGGCGCCGCTGTTCTCTCTTTGCCTTATTCTCGAGGTACCATTCTAGTACCTCACTCATACGGTCATAATGAGGATCATCATCCTCATCTTCTTCCTCAAAGTCCTCCCCGTTGTACGGGGTCTCCTCTTGCTCCGTGCTTGGAGCATAGGTGAAGTCGTCCGATTCGGTGGCCCATGACGGGTGCACAGAACCGACGCGTGTGCTACTTGTCGTCGGCGTGGTAGAACGCCCACGACCCCTGCCTCGGCCTCCTCCTCGGCTTTGGCCCCGGCCTCTACCCCTAGAGGTCCGTGATTCCGCCCGAGTGGCATGCCCGGTGGCCCCCTGCACATGCCCTGTCGGGTTCCTCCTAGTTATCCTGCGTCCACCCTCCATTTCTGAAAGAAATAAGGAATGAGTCATTAGACTCGTTTCAATGTCAATTGACGGATTAGTACAAAAGACACCCCTTGGTCCAACATTATGGCCAACAAACTGTTAAGGGTACCGTCTTAACAATAAGAGGTCAATAACTTGGTTTCCAACGGTTCCTTAAGTACAAAAACTGTTGCTCATGGTTTTATTCAAAACTTTTTGAGGATAACCATATTGAGAGGTTAATTATATAGTTTAGAAATTGATGGCTCTGATACCACTTAATTGTCACGCCCCGGACCGCATCCGAGCCACGTAGACAACCGCCGTACAACCCGATAAGAACAACAACAGTTCATCCCTATTGAGTTGTACAAGGCGTCCGATTTATTCTATTGCCAAACCGATTAGTAAACACATACAATCAACATCAATATCATAATCAATCAAATGCGGAAAATAATAAAATGTTTGATACTTAGCCACACGTGGCAAACACGGGCATGCAGGCCCCCAACTGTTTTAATGAAAGTATTGTTCAAAAATCCATGAGCGGTTTATACATTTGAAATAAGAATGGAAGCACGAACCACGTCTTCCTTCTCGATCAGTCACCCTAGGCAAAGGTGCAGGTAGTAGGACTCTAGCCTCAACCTGAAAAATGTGAGGGCCTCCGGAGGGGTCAGTACTCCATAGAAGTACTAGTGACAAGCAGGCTATATGAAGAATAACTAATGTTTCAGACACGAGACCCAAAAATAGGGTGATATATACATATAGATGTCCCTCATCCACCCGATGATACATACTGTATATATACTCGTAAAATACTCAACCCGTAGGTCATTTACCTTAAAGAGTCTTTTAGAGATAAAGTTCTTGCCTGACTTTTCTCACTCCTTTCCCGGTTACCTAGCTCACAAGCTAAAGTCTACCTTCGATTCATACTACCGAGTGTTTTAGGATCATTTACCGTCCAAGGCACTCAACCCATCCTGGAGTATTTAAGATCATTTACCGTCCAAGGGTACTCGGCCCCACCTGGAGTATTCTGGATCATTTAACGTCCAAGGGTACTCGACCCCACCTGGAGTATTCTGGATCATTTACCGTCCAAGGGTACTCGACTCCACCTGGAGTATTCTGGATCATTTACCGTCCAAGGGTACTCGACCCCACCTGGAGTATTCTGGATCATTTACCGTCCAAGGGCACTCAATCCCCAGTCTATTCTCTACCAAATCCTAACCTGGATATGGCTAACCTTTCATTCCTTTAACTATGGACAATTCCTAGCCCTATAGTCATATAACAATCCTTAGGATCCAACGTGGGCGGGTCCCACCCGAACGGCCCACGTTAACCTACTCAAAACTGCCCGTTTTGAGCATAACACAATACTCGATCGAGTATTAACCCATACTCGGTCGAGTACAGGAGACAGTAGTCCACAAAGCTGATTTTCAACAAATACCCGGTCGGGTATGTGTCAATACCCGATCGGGTATGGCAGTTGACTTGGCGGTCAACGCCCCTTTTGACCCCCCAAACGGAGTCCGATTAACTTGAAATTTTATACACATATACTTCTTGATGTCCTTGATCCAAAAATACCATTTTGGATCCCTGGATCATCACACAAAATATGTTATCACATTTTTAATCACCAAACTTACATAACATGCTTTTTAACTATGTTTTGTGTATAATCATGGCATAAACACACACTTGGTTATCTTTAATCATTCCACAAAACATATTCCTGATTACTTTAGGTAATCTCATGCCTCACGCAAAAGTTATAAAGCATAAAGCCGTCTTCTCACCTTAATGAAGCTTATGAAGTTCTAGTCTCCCCGATTTAGCTCCGACGAAACTCCGGCGAACTTCAACGAACTCCGGCGACAACTCCGGCGACCTTTTCAACTCCGTGAAAGTTCCTTGAATACCTTAGACAAGTTACTAACAAGGTTTTATCATCATAAAACCCATAGTAATACAAATAACCTCAAAAAGGTTATTTTCCGGCGAACCGGTCACTTTGGCTTCTAAGTCCGTTCTTGGACTTAGAACTACCTTCCAACCCCTCTTTCTACACATCCCAACGTGTAGAACATTACTAGGGTGTGAAATATGATTGAATAATCATAAAAGAGTATTGAAGAACAAGAAATAGGAGTAATGGAGTCATTACCTTGTTAAACACAAGTTTTCCCACCTAAACTCCTCTTTTCTCTTCTCTTTTCCCTTTCTTCTTCCTACCTTAACTTGGTGCGTGTATGATGGATGAAAATGGTTTATTTGCAGAGCTCCTCTCACTTGGTTGATGCTTGATACGAAATGGGGTGGGTTGGTATGATTGAGAATGCCTTCTTGGCATTTCTCACAATCATGGCATGTGGGAGGCCCTACTCCATTTAATGCCTTTCCCCTCAACCCCTTCTCTTTCCCCTCCCCCTTCTCTTTGTGCGGCTCCCTTGACATCTGCAGCACTAAAATCCGTGGGGTGGCCCCCACTCATGTGGGAGGTCATCCCTTTATGTCCCTAAGTGTAGAATCGGTCCCGAAAGTTGTATTTTCCGGACTGTTTTAAGTATATTTTATTTTATTGGGTCAAATAAAATATAACACTCGTTCCCAATCCTTATTGGGCCTTAGAATCATTATGAAATCCCCAACTTTAATTTATAGGTTCTCGGAATCCCTTTTTGGGCTGTTATCTGATAAATTGCCGATACCGATAATTTAGCCCGTTTGACCAACCGGTCACCCTTGTGCCATTGTCATGGCCCAATTAGGATATCCACCACCATATACATATTATCTAGTCCAAGATTAATATAATATGTGGTCCCGATAATATTGGGCGGCCCCACATCCGGTGTGGGCCCCACGTGAATTTTACTATTCACGTAATAGAAATGATAAAAATTTACAATCACGTAAAAAATGCTTTTAAACATTTCTCAAGGTTCAATACATAATTTGGTACAGTACAAATACTCGGGGGCGGTGTTACATAAAAGTTTCAGAGAAATCAACCCCCGCTTGTTGTGTAAATCCCTGAGCTACTAGACGCGCTTTATGCCTTTCAATAGACCCGTCAGAATTAAATTTAGTTTTATAAATCCATTTAGACCCAACCACATTTTTATGATGATTAAATGGAACTAAATCCCATGTGTGATTGTCAATTAAAGCATTAAACTCCTCTGCCATAGCCGCCCGCCATTTAACATCTTTATTAGCAACCGAAAAACATGTAGGATCACATGACGTAATATCTGTTTTGAGAGTAAAAATATTTTTGTGTTTAAATATGCCAGACTTAGCACGAGTTTGCATAGGATGACCGGTAGGATTCGGGGGAGCAGGGGTCGGTGGTTTATGTGGGCTGGTAGTGGCAGGTGAGGGGTGGGGATAGGAGGGTGTATCGGGCTGATCCGATGAGGTTGGCGGAGATGTTGCCGGACTGTCTGGCTGCAGGAGGGATGGTTGCCGGGAGGAGGCAGCACTGTCGTGCGGTATGGGAGAGGATGGCCGAGAGGTGTCGGCATCTGGGGAAAGGCTGGGCAAAGGATCGGCTATGTTGCTGGTAGGCGTGATGATCGGGGTAGGTTGGGGGGGTATTGATGTAGCTGGAGACACCAATGGAACGTGGGCATGCAGTGGTGTGTGGGACACAGAGGCATTGTTATCTGACTGAGAAGAGGTGAGATCAGAATATGGAAAATAATTCTCATGAAATCTAACATTCCGATTAATGTAAATTCTGTCGGTAAGCGGATCAAGACAACGGTAACCTTTATACTCAGGAGCATAGCCCAGAAAAACACATAAAACAGAGCGTGGTGAAAGTTTATTGGCAGATGTGGCATTAAAATTTGGAAAATAGGCACACCCAAAAATGCGCATAAAAGAGAAGTCTGGAGGGTGATGAAATAATTTTTCAAATGGAGATAACCCATTTAAAGTTGGAGTGGGGAGACGATTGATAATATAGGTAGCAGTAAAAACCGCATCTACCCAGAACTTAGCTGGCATTTTTGCCTCAAAAAGCATAGTGCGAGTTAATTCTAGTAGATGACGATGCTTTCTCTCAGCCACCCCATTCTGTTCAGGAGTGTCAGGACAAGATTTTCTGAACAGAATGCCATGTTGAGAGAAAAGATTACGCATACCATGATTATCAAACTCACCCCCTCCATCAATTTGAAAATTTTTAATTTTAGAGTCTAGAAGATTTTCAGCCATGACTTGAAAATGCATAAAATGTTTCAGAACTTCACTTTTATTACGCATTGGATATAACCAAGTAAAACGGGAAAAAGCATCAATAAATAAAACATAATATTTAAAACCATTGTTAGACAAAACAGGTGATTGCCATATATCAGAATGAACCAAAAATAAAGGGACAGTAGATTTATGTCAAACTTCTTGAAAAGGTAACCGTTGAGATTTTCCTAACCGACAAGAAATACAATCATGGGAAAAATTAGAATTACTAAAAATAGAACCAGACTTTTTAAGTTTATCTAAAATACGGCTGCCACAGTGTCCCAGACGTCGATGCCAGACAGGTCCAGAAGCAACATGAGTAGCTAAAGCAACTGATGAGGGATCAGGCCAGGAAATAGGATAAACACCACCTTGATTAGGAGCTTTAAGAAGCACCTCCCCCGAATTGTGGTCCTTAATACAAACAGAATTTTTATTAAAAATCACAAAGCAGTTATTATCAGCACATAGTTTTTGGATAGACAATAAATTATATTTGAGATGACGTACATGAAAAACAGATTTTAAATGAAGAGGACGCGACAGAGAAGGTAAAGCTAAATCACCAACCGTCACAACAGGTAAATTAGTGCCATTAGCAACCTTCACAGTTAATGGTCCAGAATAAATTGATTTATTTTCTAAAATACCTTCAGTAGGGGTCATATGAGCGGAAGCGCCAGAGTCAGGGTACCAAAAGTGAAAGAAGATTCTCCAGTAGGAACAGCTAAAGCAGGGGCGGAAGGTTGAGCAAAACGGGATGGACAGTTAACTGCAGAATGACCTGGCGAGTGACAGATTAGACAGACAACTGGTGGAGGAACAGAACCAAAATTATTCTCAAAGGGTGAAGATCCTACAGAAGCATAGTTAGCACAAAAAGTATATGGTGCAGAATATAAAACAATGACTCAACTGAATTACAATTAACTGTACCCGGTATATACATAGGTGGTGATGGAAGAAGGCCTCTGCCGTGGGTCCCATACGGCTGATGTGGCTGCTGTCCATTTCTGTAATAGTACTGGTGGCCGCCGGGATACTGCTGCTGCAAGTACTGTCCACCGCGTCCACGACCACGACCGCGAGATCCCCTGCCGCGACTGTGACTTCCGCGCTGGCCGTTCTGCTGCTGCTGTGCGGCGGACGCCTGCTGCGGCTGCTGCTGGCCGGTTCCAGCAGGAAGCTGGCCGTGTGCTGCAAAGGCTGGGGCGCCAACTGTAGTCTCCAAACGCTGTTGATAGTGAAGCCGAGCCTCTTGATGGACAAGTTTGGTGCATAATTTATCAAACGTGAGACCCTCCGGAAATAAAGTTAAGGGGCCTACAAGTGACTCATATCCCGGACACAACCCCAGGAGAGCAGTTTGTAAGAGATCATGGTCAGAAACTGGAGAATTAATTGAGGCCAAGGATTCAACAATTTTCCGGATTTCAAGTAAATATTGGTCCATTGACTGATTGTCTTTCTTTTTCATGTGACTCAGCATGTGTTTTAATTCCATGGATCGAGCCAGACTGGCAGCCATGAAACGAGCCTCCAAACGTTCCCATATGGCTGTAGAATTCTTTAATTGATGCACCTCAACAAGAATATCACGAGAGAGGGTAGCAAACAACCAAAAACGAACAGTCTGGTCTAATTTCAGCCAATGATAATACTCAGGGTTCATGGTTTTTGTGTGATACAAATCATAGGTATATAATGGCGGAGCAGGTAAGGAACCATCAAGAATACCCAAAAGACCATTAGACACCAGGAAAGACTCAAACTGAGTACGCCATGGTAAATAATCTTCAACAGCTAGCAATTTAATTGTCACAATTGTTGTGATAGAGGAAGCACCAAAACCCATACCTTGACTGAGAGATGCAAACGAGTTGGGAATCGGCGGGACTTCCCGACGTCCAACCGGGCCAGTGGGTGAAGGCGGAAGAAGACCTGGACTGCCGGATAAAGTTGGACCTCCATAGGTATGGCCTGCGTTGCTGATGGATTCTCCGACGGCGAAGGAAGGTGGAGGCGGCAATGACGGCATGCTTGAAACAGATGGCGTCCAAGTGAAGATTGGCGGGACCCAAGACGACGGCGTGGAAGAAGAGGAAAACGCCGTGGTGAAACCCGAACGTGGCTGCTCGTTTGAGAGGGAAGACGGCGCCAGCGTGGTAGAGGAACCTGCGCTCGGAATGGAAGATGACGTCACAACGGTGGTGACGTGAAGGCTGGTGGCGGCGGCAGTTTCCTCGGTGGACATAGGATCGGGAAAAAATTGAATTGTTTTAAAACCCTAGTGCTCTTGATACCATGTGAGAATAATGGAATGGCTTACCCCATATGGTAGCCCTGGGTGTATATTATATAGAGAAGTGTTTAGAGTACATTAGGAAACATAATATAAAAGGAATCCTAATACAAGGAAACTACTAAATAATAATTACTCTATTAGTGACTAGCCGACTAGGCGAGTAGCGGGGTAGGGCGTCGTGCGAACGGTGCATTTGTGGTCTTGGAGGCTGACCGTAGGAGGCCGGGCGCGTGGTGGTGGGCTAGCGCGGGCTGGTGGCGGTCGTCGACTCGTCCGCACTCGTTCCACTCTTCCGGTCGTTCCAGATTCGAGAGGCGCTCTCTCTGTCTTCCGTCAGTTTCCTCCGTTCTCACGTTTTGTTCCCTCCTCTATTTCCTTCAAATCTTTAAACCTGGGCTGCAGATGAGAAATACTACTAGTAAATGTTTGTTTTTGGGCCCTGTGCGACTGGACTGGGTAAACCTGGCCTGGGCCGGCCCCGGTAGGAATGCCTGCTCTGAAAATGTTTTGTTCTGGTTCCCCTCCTCTTCTATATTTACTTATTTTTTTAATAAAATACGGAAAATCTCCAATATTTACCCCATCGATAACAAAGAAAAAGATAGACAAAATGTGTTAATGGTATACATAAAAAAGTGTACACCAAGAATTTGTGACGGGTCCATGATAAAATGAGTGACAAATCCGTTGATGGCAACATTTTACAAAGAGATTTTTTGAAGGGTTGAATGAGTAAAATTATAAGTAGAAACGGTTCCAAATATTAGCAACACATAAATGTGGGCATATTTTTCTGCCATATATAAAATCAGCATAAATATTCCGCCATTCGGTCAGTGTGATTGAACCAAATTCTATATTCACCAAGGTGGTTCATAACATTACAACATGATCGATCGAGGATTCTTAGCTTATTCAGTAAAATAAGTAAATGAGGGGTATAATATTATTGAATTTATTATTACCTAGGACTATATATGGAACAAGCATGAAATTATACTAGCTAGTAAACAAGAGGAAAAAAGGGGCATGAAGAAATAAAAGAGTGGGGGAGACAAGGGCACATGAGCAGACAATGGCCCATGTCCATGCAGATCATACCACGTGCGGCCTCCTCACACATCACTAATGATTTGACCTCCATCCATGTTCCTCGTACGTGCTGATGATGACCACTCACATCACCGCACATGCATTAGGATTCTCATCACTGAACATCTCCGGCGGCGGCGGTGGCGGTGGCTGTTCATAGGCCTCACCGTACCCATACATTTCATGATGATGAGCAAACCTGCTGAACGGAGGAGGCGGCTGCTGATGGTGGTAGTAGTTTGGTGGTGGAGGGTAGTAGTAGTACAACATCTCATTCTTCCTCATCTCTAGCTTCGGGTACTCTTGATCTTGAATACCCACCGGCACCCCCTCCACCGCCTCGGCAGCCGCGGCCTTCTCCTCCTCTCCCTTCTTTTCTTCGATATCGTCCCCTTTCTTCTCTTCCTTCTCGCCACCGCCTTCCCCGACCGCCTTATCTTCTTTCGAGGTTTCCTCGGTCGCCCCCGCGGCAGCCTCCGCCTTCTCGGGCTCCACCTTCACAACCACCGCCTTTTTTCCTGTCCTCTTTGCTATATAAGACACTAGGCTGTTAGGTGAGTCGAACACGCCCTTTACTGTCACCAGTGACGCCTTAAAGTCCGGTTCTGCATTTTCCACACCTAAAACATGCATGAATCGCGCTCACCATCAATTCAATAGATCCAAATAGATCATTCCATGATTTGACATAATCATGTTCTGAGTGTGAACTTCAACAGAATCAAAAGAACCCAATATTTTATACTAGCTCCTATACTACCTATTTTATTTAACCTAATTTAAGAACGACATGTTAGAGTTAGTTACAAAATCTTTTTAAGCCGAAAAGTATAGATGGAGTTATTTTGTGATTATTAGTTGTTGATTTTGTCCAAATAAAATAAAAACAAAACAAGAAAAAACCACCAATCATGCATGCCCTACATAAAAAAGGAAGATCTGTGGGGAAAAAGAGCCAAAACAAAGACACCACATGATTATTTGTAGGTCCGAGAGGTAAATAGGACTAGTTATATTTTATTCTCAAAATATAGGGCAATTTGTTAAGGATTTTCACTATGGAGTAAGATAATATAAGTTTTGTTTAAACCTACAAATGTATTTTTCTGGTTGTTTCCACTATTAGTTCGGTAATTTTAGTAGATTTGGTCTTATAACTAATACGTAGTACTACGTAAAATTTTATCAATTAAGGACTTTCCTCCGAAAAGCACCCTTTCTAGCAAAAATATATTGGAAAAGATGTCACTTGCGCCGACAAATTTTCATCAAAAAGTATACTTTATGTGTAGAAAAATCTTTAATTTACAGCTACAGGTAATAGTAACAACAAAAGTTAAATGATTAAAATGGCAATCTCTTTATTTTCGGTAAACAATGCGACCCTGGTGAAATGAAACATATAGAGGAAGTAGATATATGCAATAAATACTCCGTAATCCGTATATGTGTAGACTGAGGTGGCGTGGCCCACTAACAAATTTGACACACATTTTTTAAATAAATGCGCTACCCATAGAATGGCATGCATCATTGTTCACTCCATTCAGTACAGATGCAACGTTTGTTTCATGAATTTGTGTTAGTGATCATTTGCTGATGTGGCTATCATAAATGAAGGGTAATTAACCTTGTCGAGAGTCGAAAAAATTGTAGCAGGGTAATAAGGATAAGATAGTCATTTTGTATGTTTAGTGGATAAACCTAACCGTCCAATATAAGTGTGATCCCGTATTAGAACATCTTCATTCATGATTTTTAAATATTCGATTTTTCATGTTTTTCTTGTCCAAAAATCAAGGCTTACTAATTTCCACTCAATCATTATCTCTATTCATTTAGGTTTTTATGGAGTTTTTTGTTATTTTCAAGGAGATATTTTAGTCTTTTCAGATTAAAAGATATGATTGCATTAAATGTGTTTATTGAAACTTGAGAATAACCTTGATTAATCTATGATTCAAAATTTGATATCAGATCTTTTATTTAAATAATCTAATCTCCTCAATCATAATCTCCAAAAAGATCTTCCGCATCATCAAGATGATCTCCGAATAATTTGATGAATGTTGATGTCTTTAGAATTTGGACTAAATTAGGATTTTAAAATGGTAGTATTAGGAGTACGTTACTATCATGTTAGAGATTTATTGTCACTATTTGGCATTATTATGAGCTTTAAACATGGCAGACCATTTCAAAAGTGACACAATTTTCTAATTACTCTATTTCTAGATAAAAACATACAGCGTATTCATATTTTAGAACTATGAGACTTTTTACTTGATCAATTTCGTTTAAAACTTTCGCTTTTTAAAATTAAATTTTTAAACCTATACCCACATAAATTAATAAATCATTAAATATTTTGGAATTGGACATACTTCATCCGTCTCTTCTTAATTGCAACAGTCAACATTTCACGTACGTTTGCACACGCACAACTTTGACCGTCATTATATTTAATTCTGTATTAGTAAAAATAAAATAAAAATGAGATTATGAAACTTAATAATCAGACGAATTTACCAATATTTTTCAAAAAATAATAATTCACATACATTAATAAATAAAATGCAGTCAAAGTAAAGTACATGAACATTGTATATATTGTAATGTTGCAATTAATGAGATACGGAGAATAATATATATTATTATTATTATTATTATCATTAATTGCAGGCAATGTGTAAAGAAGAGTAAAAGGAACACAACCTTTCATCCTCTGGATCCTCCTTTTGATTTCTTGTGCACATGCCTCACAGTGCATGTGAACTTTCAGAACCACAGTGATCACCTGGGGCTGAAGCGAATTTGGGTAAAGTGAGGGGTCAATTAGAAATTAGAAATTAGAAATAATAATACAACAAAGAGTCGATGAATATTCCCCTTTTTTTATTTTCATCAGCTTAAAATTGTAATTGCCAAATAAAGCAAGGAGACCGAATTAAATGGGGGAAAACTAGAAACTGGAGTACGTAAAGATAAAAAATAGAAAAAGATTGAGATTAATGCCATATACATGATGACTCTAACAAATTGAGGAATCCCACATGAAAAAGCAAACACTTGAAATGAAAAAGACGTGAGAATTATGATGACCGAAAAGGGGAATGAAATGCAATCTGAAATTAGTAAATGAATTAAAGCGACCTCCTCTTTTTTCTCCTCGGGCGGACCGGCTTCCTCCGGCGGCTTTTTAGGCTCCTCAGCCGGCGGCGGCGGCGGCGGAATGGGAGAGATAAGCTCAACTTGCCTGTGGCTCTTCTTTTGCACTCTCTCCAACACTTTGATTGGATCCGCCTTTTCCCCTTTCACCACCACCGTATGGGTCTTGCAATCCGTCACCACATCTTCCACTCCTGCCCGTAGTAATAAATAATTATAACATTATTCCAATTAATAAAATTAAAAAAAAAACTACTCCCTCCGTCCCGGAAAATTAGTCCCACTTTGACTTGGATCGGAGTTTAAGAAAGTGGGAATGAAGTGGAAATGTATGTTTGTGGTTGAGTAAGAAAAATGTAAATGAATGTTAGCCACACAAAACTTTCCAAAAAGGAAAATGGGAACAATTTTTTGGGACGGCCCAAAAAGGAAAATGGGACTTATTTTATGGGATGGAGGGAGTATATTTGAATTAGTAATTAAAAGCAACTATTGAAATTGATTTAACCACTTAGGCAGGACAATTCGCGAATCTACATAAATAGTGTCATGGATATTCTTTGAATTTTGAGTTATATATATACGAGATTACGAGTAGTAAAATAAATCTAGAATCCATGATAAATTTCATCATAGTTATCATCGGGAATAACAAATACATATATTATTATAATATTGAAAGAGATGTGTTGGAAATTAGCGAGAACAATATATGATATATGTGACGTAAGAATATACTATCCTCCGTTATTTAATTCTTGCAACAGTTTGATTTTTACGTTTGTCAATGCACAATTTTGACTGTAATTATATTTAATTATGTATTAGTAAACATTATGGAAATTTGGTATTTTGGAAATTCACATTGATGGGAATTTAATAACATTTTATACGTAATAATTTGATCATGTATATTACTAGAAAATCGTGATCAAAGTAAAATCTTTGAATAATGCAAAAATCACAATGTTACAAGAATTAAAGAATAAAAATAGAGGAACTATATTTTACGAAAACGCATTAATTGAGGATAATGACTTGTGCACCGATCGAAAATGTATGCATTTTCATAAACAAAGAAAGAATAACTATTTCTTTATTTGTGGCGTCTACTCTCTACCTACGTCTCAGCGCATACAAATTCGAAAGCATAAACAAAACCAATGAAATTAATATTTAATTTCTTCGGTCGATTTATGTATCTTTAAAAATCAACTAAAGTAGCCAGCTTAATTAGCTTCAATTAATTAATTAAATGATGAACTAATTCAACAACAAAAAATGGAATCCAATTAAGTGCGCGTGCGCCCACCGTACGTACCATCAAAGCCTTTAAGGCAGCGGCGAACTTTGCGGGCACACCCCTCGCAATGCATGAAGACCTTCAGAACAATTTCCTGTGGCGGCGGCGGCGGCGGGTCTTTGGAATCTTCTGCTGCCGCCACATCCGTTTTCTCACCGTTCCCGCCGTCTCCACCAGCGGCTACCGGAGGAGTCTCGTCTCTCTTCTCCTCCGGTTTCTTCACATCTTCCGGCTGCTGCTGCTGCTTCTCTTCCTACATATATAAACAAGATTGGATCATTGATCCAAGATCTCCCGGCCGATTATATATATATATATATATATATATATATATATATATATGCACATGAAAAGAAAAAGAAATGGCAAAATAAAATCAAGAAACTGGTGCAACTATACCTCTCCCATTTGGACAGATTGAAGAAATGATGAAATGAAGGGATAGCTCTCTCGGTAGGTGATAAGCTTAGATAATATATTTAGTATTTTTTCGCTTGAGATGGATCGATGGATTATTAGCAGAATGGCCGGGTTGGGATCGATAGGTATAGATAGTGGAGTCTGATCTGTAGGATTGTTTTGTCTCGATCTCTCCCGCACTGGACCGGACAGAGATCGGATCGGACCGGACCGGACCACTATATATGTCTAAAAGGAAAAGGTGAATGGCATGGGTGGCCTAACACACATGTCATCGTATATCACATGCTTCTTCCTCCCTTTCCCTTCATTTTATGCTTTCAATTCCCACTACTAACCGATCAAATGAGAGTCCTATGATCATCTTCATTTCCTTTTCTCCATTTACTCTTTCTATTTCTTTTTAACTATATCTCTTCTCTTAAAAAAATAACTAAACTCCATATTTTCTTTCTCTATCCCATCATTTCCACATCTCACTCTATCTCTCCTAATGGAGAATTCCATTTACGAGAGAGAAGCTAAATTCAACTGATCATGAGCTCAATTATGATTATTGTACCACTACAACCACAAAACATTCACTCAATGAATCCTCAATATACATTTGTTTATACTCCCTCCTCAATCAAGTTTTCGATTTAACGTATACATATATTTATGTAGGATGAAGTTTTAGTTTGTTTGGGCTTTTCAAGTACATCCTTCCATTATATCAAATCAAGTAGAGTTGGCAGGGTCTGGGTCTAGATAATTGATAAATTTTCAAGAATCGTCGATTCTAATTAATGGGTAGGTTTGATCTGTGTATACCAAGTCTCGAAATAGGAACTAGAGCTCACTCACCCCGTTTGAAACGGGTCGGTTCGGTCCGGGTTCTCGTTTTTTAAAATATACTGCTACCTAATAAAATACTACGTACTTAGCAGGTAATAAAGTTTTCAAACTAATTAATTAAATATCAATGTCACCTTGGTACAGTAAAAATTCAAAATAAAAACATAAGATAAAGTTTTGAATTAGTTAACAAAATATCTGATGGAGTATTAACTCCTAGAGAGAAGTGAGAGCTAGAGAGAGAAGTGATTTGTATTAAATGAGTTTCGATCTGGAATCCTTTACAATGAAGAAGTGACTAGCTATTTATAGCTGCCATAAATGCTAGGTGCAATAAATGAGGGTACACATGTCAAATAACCAACGGTGGCGAGTCGATTCAGCCGGGGTGGCACCAGCATAACATGTGGCCGCAGTTAATGCAGTGGTTGATAGCATGTGGTCGCGGGTAATGCGGTGGTTGGACGTGACACCGCATTTAATGCGACGATTCAAACCATGTGGAGAGGAGATCCTGTCGAGGAGAGTGTCGAAGGCCGTACGTACCCAAGGGGGCAATTGGGCTTTCCTGCCATTCTAGGGACGTACGTAGCCTGAGGACCGTCATATGCTAGAGCCTTCATGTGCCAGGGGCCGTACGTGGCCGGGAGCCTTCATGTGCCAGAGGCCGTACGTAGTCAGAGACCTTCTTCTGATGAAGGACGTACGTCCCCTGCGGTATCAATATGCCTGGAAGACGTACGTGTCACGCCCCGGACCTAGCCGGACACGTCAACAACCCGCCGTACAGTACGAATAGTCAACTGCAGTCCGACTCATCCATACTATACAAGGCGTCACGAATATCATTCACACATAGTACATCCATAAACAAACATATTGTAAAACATGCATTTAAAACAGCGGAAGCATTAATACAATTGTTCAAGCCACACTTGGCATAACTAGGCATACAAGCCCCCAAAGTAATTGTTCAAAAATAATATCCATGAGCATTGTTATAATTATTTTGAAAACAGGAAACTGAAGAAGCACGAACCACGTCTTCTCCCTTGAATATCCCCGAAGCAACGGGCGCCGGTAGCAACCTTCAAGTTCTACCTGAAACTGTGAGGTGGCCTCCCCCATGAAGGGGAGGTCAGTACTTGGAAATATTTGACAAGTACAATAGCAACTATACTAAGTATAATCAACGTTTTAATTTCCAAGACCCTGAAAATAGGGTGATATCATAATATAAATAACAATTTATATTTCCCACTTATTATCTTTATAATAAGTGAATTTATTTATCTGTCGGCACACGGCCCTTCTTATATATTCCTTTTCATTCAGCATTTGCACAACCCAACCCTTGGGTCTTATTATTTCTACGGGATTTGCTACCGCTGTCCGAGACCTCATGAGGCTCCCGGTTCGGACTCCAACATCCCGCCCCTGGACTCGTACCCATCATCCCGAGGAAGGTAAGGCCCTTCGGGGTCCTATCTTATGTGTTACCGCTACCGGAACCTAGTTAGGTCTCCGATTCGGATTCCACTCTAACCCGTGATCACGATGTAAGTCCATGCTATCCAACCCCGCTCTCTAGAGTCGGGAAGGGCCATGGTCCTTACTATTTCCATAATTCAACCGGCTATCCACAAGAATTACCGATCACACCCGTAGGCCAATCCTATACTTAGGATCAATTTAATATTCACACTATCTTGGGTATCTCTTAAGGCCTACCCCTAGTATAACTTAAAGTTCATACTTTCCTACCTTAAAGCATCTCTTAAGACTACTTAAGGCATAACGTTTCACAATCCAACCTTAGGATCAATCTTAACAACATTTCATTTTAATGTCCAACTAGTATCTTAATACTAGTCAAATTAATATCAACAAACCAAGTTCTCAACTCATAGTCATATAGACAATCCCAACTGATTTTCCTTTGAAAACATCATTTATCTCAATATCCAAAATATCACTTTTAATCACTCATATATTCTAATATGAAGAAAAAGTATATTTCTACACATGTTTCATAATAAATTCCACATTCAAGTCAACATACTCACAACACATGAACATACACAATTTACTCTTAAATTTGTATATCGTGCTCCTTTTTCTTTAGACATTTAGTCTTTTCATTTTTAGGCATTATTAATCATTAATCCATAAAAACGCATTTAATTACCTTCGGTAATCTCATGAAATTAACTCATTAATTATAAGCAATATAGTCAGCCATCCTCACCTTATGATGTGCTGAAATAGTTGCCTTCGTTGAGCTTCCCGATAAATCCTCGTTTTAAACCGATGAAAGGTAAAAAACTGGACTGCCTGGGCAAAAGCCGGGCGGCTTTCAGTAAAGCCGGGCGGCTTTCGTGTTCTGCAGAAACGAACAGCTTCCTTAAAGTGGCGGTTTCCGGCGATTTCGACTCCTATCGATTCACCAACTCTTCTAAGTTAAATATCACCACTTTATATCAATATTCTACACTTTTAAACGTGTAGAACATCATGTTTAATCCACCATATGATTTCTTAAAAATCATACACCATAAAACTAGTTAAAAGAAGAGTTGGGTTCTTACCTTCTTCCTAGCTAGTTTTCTACTGGAGTTTACTTGCCTCTTACTTCCTCCAAGCTTGAACTTGATGAGGAGTTGCTGGATCTTCTCCTTTCCTTTGAGTTGGCCGGATGGTTGCAAGTGAGGAGGGAGATAGGCTCCTCTCAATCAATACAATTGATTGAGTAGAAAGGGTGTAGGGATGTGTTTTTGTCTCAAATGAGACTCCTTACCTACTCTGCACGTTCCAGCATGCTTCTTGGTCATTTGTGATACATAAAATCGTGGGGTGGCCCCCACTCATGTGGGAGGTCATCCCATTATGTCCCGATGTGTATAATCGGCCCCGAAAGTTGTATTTTTCGGACTACTTTAGTCATATTTTATTTTATCGGGCCGAATAAAATATATCACGTGTTCCTAATGATTATGGGCCTTTAGAATGGATGTACATTCCCCAACATTAATTAGGAGTCCCCGAGACTCATTTCGGGCTGTTATCCGTTAAATTACCAATACCGGTAACTGGGCCCCGTTTGACCAACCGGTCAACTCCATGCCTTTATTATGACCCAAATAAAATATCCACCACCATATATATATTATCTAGACCAAGATGAATATAATATGTGGTTCGGGAATTATCGGGCGGTCCCCGTTCCCGCTGTGGGCCCCACATGCAATTTACTATTCACGTAAAAGAAATAGTAAAAATTTACAATCACGAAATTTCTTAAATCATTCTTCAAGGTTTATTACATAATTTACTAAAAGTAAATATGTTCGGGGTCGGTGTTACATTACGTCCCCTGGGGCATTCATGTGTCGAAGGACGTAAGTTCCATGGGCTTTCAGGTGCTGAAAGACGTACGTAGCTGGATACCGTCATGTGTTGGAGGCCGTACGTACCCTGGAAGACTTTAATGTGCTGGAGGGATGTACGTCTCTTGGGGCCTTCATGTGCTGGAGGATGTATGTCCCCGGGGCTTTCATGGGCTGGAAGACGTACGTCCCCTGGGGGCTTCCATGTGCTGGAGGACGTACGTCCCCTGGTGTAATACCCCGCCCCGTAGGACCCTAGGTAGTTACTCCAGACCTCTAGTACTGTCATCACAAACCTCTACGAGCCTTTAATGCGCACTTTGTCCTCACTCGTGCGCGCCCTGAGAAAACTTCCCAGGGGGTCACCCATCCCAAGACTACACCCGTGCAAGCACGTTTAACTTTGGATTTCTTGGTGATGAGCTCCCTTAAAAGGAGATGCATCTTGCATCTTGTTGGTATGAGTAGTACTATTAATCTGTTTGAATTAAATCTCAAGTATTACAATCACTCCCACTTAGGGTCGCAATGTCCTTGTTGCGCCCACAAGCCAATTCAATCTCAATCATATCCCCGAATCTTTCCCCCGCTAAGTGCCCGCCCGATACCCAACAGATCAGCACACTCTTGCAGGGTTGCTCTGATACCACCTGTAACACCCGCCCCGTAGGACCTGAGGTAGTTACTCCAGACCTCTAATACTGTCCTCACAAACCTCTACGAGCCTTTAATGCGCACTTTGTCCTCACTCGTGCGCGCCTTGAGAAACTTCCCAGGGGGTCACCCATCCCAGGACTACTCCTGTGCAAGCACGCTTAACTTTGGAGTTCTTGGTGATGAGCTCCCTTCAAAGGAGATGCATCTTGTTGGTATGAGTAGTACTATTAATCTGTTTGAATTAAATCTCAAGTATTACACCTGGGGGCTTCCATGTGCTGGAGGACGTACGTCCCTTGGGGGCTTCCATGTTCTGGAGGACGTACGTCCCCTAGGGGCTTCCATGTATCGAAGGACGTACGTCCCGTGGGCCTTCATGTGCCAGAGACCGTATGTATCCTGGGATCCTCCATGTGGCAGAGGCCGTACGTCCCCAAGGTCTTGCAAGTGTTTGAGCCTATTCGTAGTAGTGAGAGTATGTGGGTCGGGGATTCCTGGGCCATATACTCCATCAACATCTAACAAAAAATGTATAAATTAAATCACGCAAATTTAATAACACCAAACTTTGAAATGTAAAAGAATTAGACATTATCATTCATAAACTAAAAAGATAGCACCACAAAGTCATAAGAAATTAGACTAGTCACTATATATGTTCAAGAAAACAATTTAAAGAAAACAATAAATGAACAATTAAATTAATATTTCACACTTTGTTTAGACAAATAAAGAAAACTCGATGCATTTGTAATAAAGAATAGTGAATAGTAATTTAGACATTTATATGGAGTATACTCATGATGGAAGGAGATCTAAATGTAAGGAATAAAATGTATTTAGATTTTGATGGTGTTGTACAAATTAGCCCGATAGGGTTTTCTTCTAGTTTTTGTTTGGATTAATCCGGCGTTCGTTTTGGATTGGTCTGGCAAAGAGTTTCTGTCAGCTTTTGGTTTGAATTGATCTGGAGGAAGTGTGTTTTGTTTCTTCTCACCACGGCATGAATGTGTTGGATCAGAATTGCGGGGTATTAGCAATCTAGCCATGGCTCAGGGGTTGGCAGATTTGGTTCCGGCCCACGGCACGGGTGATGAACATATGGGGAGCGATGAACGATTGAGCAAGGGAGAATACAGATCGGCGGTCTGTCACTCTGTCCCCTTCCTGAACCGCCGCCTTGGATCGATCAAGATGTCAGAGTTTGGAAGATGATATTTCAAGAAACCAGTCAGGAAAGAGTTTGGAGTATTTGTCTGTTATTTTATTTTTATGGTCTTATTTTAATGTTATGTTTGTTTACGGTGCTTCGTTTTTTGTTGATGACTTTAGTGTTAGGTCTACAATAATGATTGTCAACTCGGCTAGATATTATGTCGTTAGAAGGATCTATATGGTCAGTGATTGTTGTGTCACACCCGCTTGGTGGTTAACGATTCATATTGTTGTTTCATGAGTGATTGTTTCAGAGTCTAATCGTAGGGTTTATTGTGCTAGTTGGTTAGGGATAGTTGTTGTGAGGGTTGGTCTATTTGAGTTTGTTGTAACAATCTTGTTCCTAATCAATATATATATATATATATATATATATATATATATATATATATATATATATATATATATATGATTCCGGTGAGAAAGAAGTCTTAGGAGAGAAATGAGAACAAAATCTGACTCTCCATGTAATCAATCGGACGACCATAATAGAGCCACACATACCTCAACCGCTAGCTCTTTAAAAGGAAACCATTTATTGATCGTACTACTATTCCAATTAATAATTTAATTAGAGGGCATTTATGTAATCAAACACTACTATTAAATGCTCAATCATGCACGTACATTGACGAGCACTTTGTCACGGTGCGTCAAAATAAATTCAATACTAAACACTTATACGTAGTATAGTGTAGTAGAGTTCGTATCCACAGGGAAAGGTATAATTCTCTTTCTATGAAACTAGTAATAAAAAGGGGGGTTTTGGTTTTGAGTGATTTAATTCAATTAAGAAACTAAGATGAACAACCTATATGTGTTTAATTTCAAGAATAAAAGGGACTTGGCTTTGCTACTTTCCACTTGTTGATATATTTTAGTCGGTCCTTGTTATATCTATAACTTATCCCCTCTCGAATACTCAATCGAGGAGTATCTCCAATTCATCGATGGTAGTTATTAACAACGACCGTTCATTAATAACCCTTACTATTAATCAAATATAGAACAACACCTTATACCGATATAATAGTAGCATTCCATCTTTTTAACTCCTTGATGAAATCAATTGAGATTGATAACCTTAACACAACGGTTTCGGTTTAACCAACAAAATTGATCCCTCTTAAGTCTATTAACCACGACCGTGCATTAATAAACCGAAGTTACTTACTTGTGAAACCACCAACGATTAACCATCGGTTCGTTGATCGTTTCTAGTAGTAATTAATGTCGGAACGTTAACTAATCGTCACTTAGCAACCCTCCAACATTAATATAGAATGAGATTAAGGGAAGAATTAATAATCAAGAGAAGAAGTTAAGAAAATAACTCACAACTTTAATAATCAACAAGCTTCAAGAGCAAAACCAAGAATGGAAGTTTAGCTCCTCATTTGGAGACTAAACATAGCTAGAAAAATATAAAGAAATGCTATTCTAAACTGAGCTAAAGAGTATGGAAGAAGGGATGATTTTTTTGTGAAGAAAAAGTGTGCTATTTATAGGTGTTTTTCAACACCTTTGGCCGGGTACCCTACCGGGTACCGGTCAAAATCAGATAATCTCCCACGTTTCATTGTTCCAGCACGTTAATTTGTCCGGGTCAAGTGAGGGACCCGACCGGATTTGGTCTAAATCAGATTTTTTCCAAATCTTTGTGATCTTCAGCATGTTCTGGTGTTCCGGGTCATGTCTGACCCGACCGGGTCGGGTATGGGACCCGACCGGGTCTTACTTTTCCTTCTTAGATCTGTTCCTCAACTGACCCGACCGGGTTCAAGGTCTGACCCGGTCGGGTTTTTGTGCTCCTGGGTCTTTTTGTCTTCAGTTTTTCTCCCTTTTTCCTTGCTACAAACTCTATCACTATTCTAAAACTCCGAAAAAGGAGAGAACAATTAAAAACAAAATAAAACAAGTACTTACAAACTAACTAAAAGTGATGGAAAATCCACACTCAATCAACATAAAAACATACGTTTATGCACTATAAACTAGTGCATATCAAACACCCCCACACTTGAATTTTTACTAATCTCGAGTAAAACATATTCTGTCCAAGGGGTCCTTAATTGACAAGAGTAGCAACACCAACATCCACAAAAAACATAAAGCGTCTCCAAAATCAAAAGAGTAAAGATGGGTCTTCAATTTCAATCCGAACTCTCTATAGTACTCGCCCTCAGGATCCTGCAAAATCAAAAGAAATAACTTTCTCTCATTCTCTCATTTTGCCTAGGTGCCCTTTCAGGTTTTCAATCCAGCTTCCCACATTTTTTTTTATTTTCTTTTTTTATCTCACAAACTCACTCCTATTTTTGCTTTATTTTTGCTTAAGCTGCCCTTTGTGGGTTTTCAACTTAACAAGCTTTCGTTTTTTTTTTGTTTTTTTATTATTTGTTTTTTTTTGAAGAGATAACAAGAATAAAGAGTGTGAATGTGAACATACCGGGAAGATCTCCCCCACCACTAGTCC